CGAATGCTGGTTTCGTGCGTCGGCATGGAATAGGTGAAGTCGCATAGGCCGGAGAAAAGCCAAGCGAGACCAGCAAAGGTTTTGAAGTCAGGTTGTGATCCTGTTCCTGCTTTACTTGTTTCATGCGATTGTTTTTGCAGAAATGCCTTATGTGGAGCCGGACTTGCTACATGAGGGGCACGGCTCGGCTTTGCCTTGGCGGAAGCACAAGGGGCTAACTAAATAAGAGACGCTGCTTCTCAGAGACACTGGGTGTTTTGTCCAGAAGATCAGCATTTGCGGACAGCTCGCACGTTCCAGTGATCATTGACTTTTGTCAGTGAGGGGAGTTGCCATTGCTTTCAACCCTCAACAGATGTCTATTCCAATGTCACCACGCCTCCTTTTTTTCTGGCCCTACTTGGATAAGGTGATTCTTGAAAAAACCTTCAGTTTCATGAGCAACTTGGTTCAGAAAGCGTGACAAATGTGTTGACCCAGCGCGAGCTGAAGGGGCCATTGGTTTTGTCGGAAAAAATCGGTCGCGTCCCGTGGGCTCAGGGCTTCCGCGAAGGCGAGTGGCGGAGTGGTTTCAAGGGGGTGGGCTTGCGCTTGCGACATCTTGCGAGAGACGCACCAAGCAAACACCCTGGGCCATGAATTTGTCTATACATGAGGCAATTAGGCAACCATCATGGAAAGAAACAAGATTGGAAAGAGGAGAAAAAGCTGGCTGCCTATGGTGCAGGGATAAGTAGGATCACTGGGTCGTACTTGTGGAGGTCAGACTTGCCATGGAAAGTGGGAGGCTCCGCTTTTCAAATATGCTCCGGTCAGGCCGGGCAAGCTTTGAATCGTCCATAAGGCTTTACGAAGGTCCAAACTTTGGTGCATTTTGCTTGGATGTTAAGACTTTTAACTTTTTGCCAACTAACGGGTTTCCATTAAACCACTAAAAGTTCAACTTTTAGCAGGGGAGCAGAAAGCAACCGAGCAAAATAAGCCGTATGAGAGCCTGGCATCTTTGAGGAGGCGCTCGGACGCGCTCGGACTTGTGAATTGACTTCTCAAATAGTGAAGGTATTTTGTTGTCTGGGCCGACTCCCTCTTTGCATATCCGCTTTGCTTGTCATAGATGCATAACCAACCATAGAGAGGGCTGGACGACTTGCATCTGAACTGGCTTTAAAGATCTAGTTGCTGCTTGCCTGACACCTTGACGTGGAACTTGTACGGACGGCAGCGTTTCTCACTCTTGGCTTATGTACTGGCCTGTCTTTAACGGTTTATCGAGACGGGTGCTTGGATGTTCCCTTCCCCACGAGCGACTGACTTGGATAAGGGTGACACATGTCCCTTATCAGTCTTCACTTGGAATGCACGGCATTCACAGCATGCCGTGTTGACAGCGGGTCCTTAGCAAATTGGCTCATTGCTGGCAAACTAGGTAGCTTGCATGAATGTTCACGGGGAGCTCACATTCCGTTTGCAGACACATCTTGTGTGGACATTTTTCATGCACCCATGCAGGTTTGAATGCGCCTGCAAACTCGATGCTGCTGTTGGCTCCTGCTTACCCAGCCCACCAGTTAGGATGAACGACGGGCCCATGTTTCGTGGAGATTCGGAGATTCGATCATTGAAGTTCTGAAAAAGGAAGTGTTTTTTGGGACCCTTCCTTGAATGGCGGGCGCCGCATGCAACCAGGGACCAGGGACCCAAAAGGCCCTTACTTTGTCGTTCGGGCGCCCCCAAGCTCGTGCAACACTAGGCGACTCGCCCACTTTTCCGCTTACAAAGGTGGTTTTAAACATCGACTTTCCTTCGGGGTGATGTGTTGTCAAGGCGTTTTGCGCGCAGGGGCGGCAGGGCTCAAAGAGCAGTGTGACCAGCGGGGGGCTCAGTTGGCGCCGGAGGTTTGGGTGGAAGAGCCTTTCAACTGGGGCTTGGTGCTTGATTTCCGGAGGCAAAGCTGTGGATTTTTGAGCCAAGCTGAATCGCAGTCGCTGGGGCGTTCGGCTTTCGTAAGCTGTCCTCGTTCCTGGAGTGGTCAAATGAAGTGGAGTCAAGCGAGAAATCCGGAACCCGCCCTGCCTCCGTGAGGTTCGCAGAATCTGCTCGGTGAAAGAACCAAAGAATAAATCTGGTCATTCCATGGATTGTTCGGAAAGACGCACATCAAGTCCAAGAGTTGAAGGCCGTGATTGAAGAAGGTTTCTGGTCAAAATGCCTTTTCAACATCGCTTCTTATGACAATCCTGAAGGCATCAGGGGTTGGATCAATCCAGGACGTGGACCCAACATGGGGCCCATCTTAAAAAACAAATAACATCAGACAAGAATCTGGCCGGGGCTTTTTGGTGGCGTGTGGTTGCATGACAGCATGGCTGTGGCTCAAAAAACCGGTAGCAAAATGGAACCCTGCCAAGTGGAAACATGGACCAACACCTAGCAAGCCTCAAAGCGCGCCGCTTGTCTGTCCGCCTATCCGAGGCGCGCGTGACAGCATCACCATGCAGCGCTCCTCCTCGAGGTGCAGTATGCCCAACGCCGCAACCCTGGCAAGGCTGGCGGCCCCTTTGTGGGCCTCCTCATTCCTTTTACCTTTTTTTTGGTTGGGAGGGTTCGGGACCCGACTAAAATAGACTACGGAAAAAAGGGTACCCTTATTCTAGCCTCTCATGGAGGACCTAGTTGGGATTTGCAATAGTGGATAATAATATCTACCATCTCACGATGCAGTCCATCCACTGTAGTGGTCAATTGACCAATCCCTGAAAAGGCCTCGAACGGCCTCGTTTTGGCGCGGTTTCCGGGTTATAGGTCAGGATGGGGATCTTCGGATTCTGAAGAACCCAATCCAATGTTCTGGCTGGTTTTCAGGGAATGAGGGAATGATCCCTATTCAACTTGTTCAGGGGGTCAGGTCATTTCCCCGTTTGCTCCACTGGCCGTGTCTTTTTGCGCGTTACCCTTCCAAACGTAGACGCGGAACCTGAAAGATAGTCTCCTGATGCCTCCTGAAGAAGCAACTCGTTTATGAGGCCTCGTGCAGCTTCCGTTTTTCTCTCAGGAGGGTAGCCCGTTTTGAACTGGTGTGAATCTAATGTTGACCCCAGATTAACAAAAACCCCAGTTTATTCACATGGGGGTGTCCCTGGTTTTAGTGAGGATGTATTACTTTTGGAGGGACCACCCCCATATTAATCAGTAGGGGTTTATTAATCCAGGATCAACCTTACTGCATGGGAAACTGCTTGGAACTGGGGCTGTTTTTTTGCAAGGACCAGGGGGTGAAATGCGCTTCCCCAGGAGTCAGCTCAGATCTTTCCTTGCTGACGGTGGAAAGGGTTGCCTTCTAGACTTGGACAATGACTGATGCAATCGAGACATGTTCAGCTTTCCTCCACTAGCCCCTGCGACAATGGGCATACTGTTGGAAAGTGGAGCGAAGGTTTTGCCAATGTCTAGTGCTGGGGAGGAAGTGCCTTGAGATTTGGGCCCCTTCGGAGCAGTGGCCCTTGTCAAGCCCAACCTTCAGTCGCAAAGGCGACCTGTCATGGGATATGCGGGTGTGTTGTTTGGGGGCACCTGTGTGTGTGTGCGGCGATTGGAAGGTCAACACTGTCACTAGGATTCTCAGGAATCAATGGCCTGCTTGCGCACACATACGACTTCAGGTCTATCGTCCCAACTGCCAACCAGGGGCAGGAGAACAGGTACAAGACCAAACATGTGCGCAAGTTATCGCGAGCTCACCTGCGAACAAACCGAGCTCACCCAGTTTCTTATGTTGGGATTCAACCTCAATGCAGGCTGATGAACTAGAGCAAAGTGTTCTGGAAGCGCGGCGTCAGCGGACAGCTGGAGCCATTCTCTTTCATGGGAGGGTGGGAAGCGAACAGTTTGAGCCATTGACACGCTTTCTGCCGTGCCACCGAGTGACATGTCGCATGACACTGGCTTTAGCCTCATGCGGCTCAAACGATTTGATTGTGCTTTGACAATTTTCCTCAGTGGGTTTCAGACGGATATCAAGCCAAGGCCTGACCTGAAGTACAACAAGTCTGACTTATGTTGCGTAAGTGCAGGCTCGGACACACTTGTCCGAGTGAGTTGCCTGTAGGTCCCCCAGTAGTGCCCTTTTACCTTTTTTTTGGGGAGGGTTCCCCGACTAAAATAGACTACAGAAAAAAGTAGGTACCCTTATTCTAGCCTCTCTACTGGAGGACCTAGTGAATATGTCTACTTTGCTCCTCAAAAGCCCGAAGCCTAAGCATCTAAGTGATGCTTGGAAAGTTGATCACATAGGTGTCCTTTTTTGGTTTTATTTTGCTCGCAAAATAGATGGCGATCCCTGGTTTACCTAGTTTAATCATCTACCAGGCAAACCCATCTATTTCCCCCTACAAGGACACCTATGGTTGATCACCGTTGTTTTCCAGCCAGTGAAATGGGATGACAGACGACTTCATTTGTTGCGAATAGATGTCATTTGCAGATAAGGAGCCACACCATGTGATGGCAGTCCGGATCGGTGTCCTTTCCTATTGAGTTTGTCACAAACCAAAATTGTGATGGCGTCAGTTTGGTCCAAGTGCTATTTACCAGTGCCGTTTGTGTGTGTGTGTGTGTGTCGTGTGGTTGCCACATAATTGACGATTGTTGGGCGAAATCACCCATTCGGAAGCTTCCCCGATTTATAATGCCAACCTGGCTGGCGTTAAATGCCCCCAAAGGAAGCATCAAGGGAATGGACGCTGATTTGTGTTTAGACCCCTTATTGTTTGTACTCTTTTCACCCATCGTTCTCTTTAGAAGCCACCTGTTTTCCCAGTGGTTGGCCAATTTTTAGATCCCTGCGAATTGGAAGGCACCCCACAACAAGTGCACAAAGCGCAAAAGGTGCAAAAAGTGCAAAAAGTGCAAACAGCGCAAAAGGCACCCAGCCCGATATTTTTAGCACCCAGCAAGAGGTCAGGGCAGTGTGTTGCCTCCCGAACGCTGCGGCCACGGGTGCCATGCACGCCTTTGCCACGGAGGAGGCCAAGCGCTTTCAGCAGCGGAGCTTTGGCACGGAGGAAGCGCCCAACCTGGGGGACACGAAACCCAAAAGGGCTCCCCCCGAAAAGGTCACTGTAGCGAAGGGAACCTCTTTTGGGGGTTTTCGATTTTCTCCTTTTTGGGTTGTAGGTCAGTTTGCAGGAATTAGCCATTGGCTAACTGGATCCAAGCAAGAGGTTCTATGGGTTGTCAAAGTAGGGTCGCTTCCTTACACCCCAACACATGGTCGTGGATTATCCGGGACTTGCGTTGCGAGACCAAGACAATCCCCTTCAAGGTGATCAAGTAAAGTAGTGATGCGGATGTGACTCCCACTTCAGAATAGAAAGAATGATTTTTCAAAGGAGGAAGCGTGGACATTTTAGGGATGGGCTTCCGGCAAAATGACGCAAAAGGGTTCTTAGGCTGTTAACACAGAAGACTTTGCAAGAAAGAGGCATCATTGGTTAATGGTACTTGGGTGCTCAGCCAAGTCAGTAAGTGGTTAATAATCTGGCATACAACTGTAACCTACTTACAACCAGCTCAACTCACTCATAAGGAGGTTATACCCCAGGTGGCTACCCACTAACTTGGCTGAACATCCAAGCCGCAAGCCCAAATTTCTCAGGGGTGCGGTGAGCTAAAGGTCTTCTCCCCAAAAAGTGGGAGCACTTCAGAAGAGCCAACAAGCTTATTTGTTGTTCCAACAAATTAGAATCCTCCCCTGACAGCGCCTCCCCTTGAGGCCGCACTTGATTGGAGCTTAGGGAGGTTGATTGGGCTACCCTCTCAACATGGAGGTGAGGCTCCATGTGGAAAATGTTTGTAGAGGAGTCTCTGCATTTGCCTCTTTGTGGATACCATACTTGGGTGCTCGGCCAAGTTCGTAAGTTGTTGGTAGCCCAGGCCGCAAAGTTGGGTTAACCTTGTTATAAGGGAGATATACCCCAAATGGCTAACCACTTGCTGACTTGGCCGAACATCCAGGTAGTCTTCCCACCGGTCTGTGGTATGTTATATTACCCTCCCACCAGCTAACATGGAAGTGCACAGACCCCTTTAGAAAGACTACTTTCCTCTTGGAAAGGGCCTTTTTGCACAAACCCATGTTAGTTGGTGGGAGGGTATGTGCACAGACCCCTGTAGAAAGACTACTTTCCTCTTGGAAAGGGCCTTTTTGCACAAACCCATGTTAGTTGGTGGGAGGGTATGTGCACAGACCCCTTTAGAAAGACTACTTTCCTCTTGGAAAGGGCCTTTTTGCACAAACCCATGTTAGTTGGTGGGAGGGTATGTGCACAGACCCCTTTAGAAAGACTACTTTCCTCTTGGAAAGGGCCTTTTTGCACAAACCCATGTTAGTTGGTGGGAGGGTATGTGCACAGACCCCTGTAGAAAGACTACTTTCCTCTTGGAAAGGGCCTTTTTGCACAAACCCATGTTAGTTGGTGGGAGGGTATGTGCACAGACCCCTGTAGAAAGACTACTTTCCTCTTGGAAAGTGCCTATTTGCACAAACCCATGTTAGTTGGTGGGAGGGTATGTTAGTTGGTGGGAGGGTATGTGCACAGGCACAGACCCCTGTAAAGACTACTTTCCTTTTGGAAGGGGCCTTTTTGCACAAACCCGTGTCAATTGGTGGGAGGGCAGTTGGAATCCGATTCCCGCCACATCCTGAGGATGGCCTTCCACTGCTCAGCGGTAGTGGCCTTCACCTGTGCAGCGCCTCGACCAGGTGACGTCCTCCGCAGCATATGTCATCCTGTGGATGGTTGCGAAATCCATTTCGCACCACCTAAGAAACCCTGAAAGGATGATTCCCCTGAAAATATCAACAAACAAATGGCTTCTCATGTGTTCGGCTGGCAAAATCTGAAACAACATTTGAACAGCGTTTTCTGTGCATCCCAGATGGGGGCGAAGAATTTGGTGTTTCTCGAGATAGAGACCCCTTCAGATTGTTGGTTTTCCTTATGTGATAAGCCACAAAAAGGGTACCCCAAGTAACACAGCCAAGTTGTGGTTTGGGCGATCGCCAAACGGCAATCGTTATGTAGGTGGGTTTGTTTTGTTATTTCGAGGTCCTTTAGGTGTCCTCAAAAAAAGAAAACACGCACACACCCAGGGTTTCTTTGCACATGGGTTTGTCGAGCTGAGGTCTACCTCATGGGTCTTCTCAGACCTGTGCTGGAGCCCTTCTTCTGGGCCCTCTTTCTGGTTACAGCCCTGGAGCCGCTCACAAGGCCGGGCGGATTTGACACATGGCCGAGTAGGGCCCGGAGTGGTGAAGGCCTTGGACAGCAGCGGCCTTTCAAGACTCAACTGGGCAGTGCTTGCGGTTTCCGTGTGATCCCTCTTAGGAAACACGATTCAATTACTTGGCTTCGAACCATCCCCACCCTCCACACCGGCAACTTTTCCTCTATTTTGCTCAAGGGCCTGAAAATGATTCCGATGCCACTTGCTACAACATCAAAAGCAATTCCGATGCCACTTTGCTCATGCCTTGCAGGCCGCACTTCAACGTTATCACTATCAATGGCAAGCGTTTTTTCTCCGATTTTTTTCAGTTGCACAGACCTGGCCAAAACTAGGCTGACACAATTTGGTCAGCAGCTCCAGTTGGCATGGCCGGGACATCAAGCAAATCCACAACAAAGTGCTCAAGCAACTCTAGGCTGACACAAGCAAGCAATTCCGATGCCACTTTGCTCATGCCTTGCAGGCCGCACTTTAACGTTATCACTATCAATGGCAAGCGTTTTTTCTCCGATTTTTTTCAGTTGCACAGACCTGGCCAAAACTAGGCTGACACAATTTGGTCAGCAGCTCCAGTTGGCATGGCCGGGACATTAAGCAAATCCACAACAAAGTGCTCAAGCAACTCTAGGCTGACACAAGCAACTTTTCCTTTATCATTTCCTTCATCATTTGGTCGTACTGATGCACTTCAAATGCCAGCTGACCGCCGGAGCGAGTCATACACAGGCCAGTCCGACAGCGCCGACATGGTGACCTCGGCTTTCTGCTCGAGCCTCTCAACAATTTTGATGAGGCTACTTGGCGGGCCACGTCTCAAGAGGTCTTCGACTTGCGCCGTGTACCCAACCAAAATCATATTCTGCAACTTGCGCGCCCTGGACAGCATTACGTACAAGGATAGCCACCAGTTGTCGTCGCTAAGACCGCCAGCGCGGCGTAAATCGATGACAACACCGCCCTCCAAGGTTAAGCCCTGTGCCGCATATGCAGTGCGAAGCATCCCATGGGTCAATGGGAATTGCCACCGGAGAACCTGCACTCGATGGCTCTCGCCCTCCACCGTGAGCTCTACGCTAAACTCGGCGTGGGCGAGCTCAACAAAAAGCAGCGAAGAGGCCTTTGCAAGCTGCTCCGGCGCCAGCCCCCGCTTCTGGCCAGCAGCCTGCAAGTGCTCTGCCAAAGGTGCGCCGTTGAAGTTCTGAACCTCAACCCAGATTCCTGCAACCATAAAGTCGGGAAAAAATGAGTGTATCCAGGCGGCAGGTTGGCCAATCGCTTCTTGTCGGCCCCATGGAGCTCCACCGAGACTACTCGGCCAAGTTTGTCTTTCACAAGGCCGAGCTCTGAAGACAGAACGTCGGTCAGGCGCACGACCATCTGCTCATGTATCAAAAGCATCCCCTGCAGCTTGCCGGTCTTGTGCAGGTTTGGAATTGTCAGCAAATTGTGTGTGATCTGTTGGTCAAGTGTCTTGCTTGCTAGCTTGTGTCGTTGGTCCGCGGCCTGCAGGCAAAAAAGAGGCACATCAAGTTTTCGAGCATCCCTGTGGGCTCGCTCAACCATGCTGCGCGCTATATTCTCCCAGTACAAGCCAACAACATGGCCGTTGGCAAACAAGTCGGTTTCTAGCTCATTCTTGCAATCTTCAATCCTGCGAGACCGCAACAAAGCCAAGTGAGCCTCAAGCATAGGTGCTTCCGGCCTGCTTGCGCGCATAGCAGCTGTGATTCCAGGGAGGTGCTCATCCAAATATCGTTTGCTTTTTGTCAGCCGAACCACATCGCAAATCCCGAGCGTGGCATCCTGGGCCACCTGATGCTCCGCCCACACTCTTTGCCCGTGTGCCGCGCTGAGGTCATCCGCCAAGGAAATTTCCATAGCGGGCTTTATTTGAAGAAAGTCACCGGATATGAGGACAATGGGAATTTTTCCAAAAAGCTGCCCTGTGTGGCCGTATTCATGTGGCTTCAAAACATGCATGTTCTGCCTGGCCCGCATCACACGGTAGAGCAACATGTTTTGGACCCCGGCCGGAATGAGAGACACCTCATCTTCAATCAGGAAAATAATGGACCGCCAGCGGCTTTCCATTTCCGTTCTTTTGGTTTTCAAAGCTAGGTCTCTGTTGCGAAGGCTCGCGACTCTGTAGCTCGCTGCTGCGTGCACTGTCTTGGCTCTAAATTTCTCGTTCGAAATTGCATCGCCCTGCGCATGGCTGAATGTGGTGATCATGAAACGTTGCCGGCTGTCTATTGCGGGGAAGTACTCAATAAACACTTCCAGCAGCAGCTTCAAAACTATGGTTGTCTTTCCTGTCCCGCCGGCTCCCATAAGCATGCAAGCTTTCTGGGTGCGTTGATTGACGGGTACCCCTTTGCCCTCTTCCTCAAAAGCTACATCAAGTGCTTCGCCGAACCACCTGCACAACGCTCTCTGCTCGGCTGTCAGTTCAAAGCCTCGTGCCTTATCTTGCTCAAAAGCCAACACTCTCTCGGCCATACGGTAAGAAGGCCTTTTCAAGTGCTGCCAAAAAGCTTCCACCTCTGGATTGCCAGCTTCTTGAAGAACACTGCTTGGCACCGGCGGGTCTGAGGCAGGTGCCTCAACATCTACTGCCGGCTGCTTGCGGGCCAAAGCTTCTCGCTGAGTTTCCACCATCAGTTGCGTTACTGGTGGTAGTGTCGCTTTCCAGATCTGGCCAGCCGCGTGGTCCGCAGTCTGGGGAGAAACTTTCTGGGGCAACCTTTCCGCAACCTTTCGCAGCTTTTGCTGATCAGAGGTTAAAGGCAAAAGGCCAGCACTAACCATTTCTCTCACAAACTTGGACACCCTTTGCCGGTGAAAACCTAGCACTTTAAGCCGGCCCTCTTGGCTGAGGGCATGGTGCACTTTCAATGGCGCTTCACCGGCCTTGAGCTTCACAATCCCCTCATCATCTGGATCTAGCGCGTCTCAATGGCATAACTTTTGGTTCTTGGAGCTGACTTTGCTCTGGCATAAGCGTCCAAGTTGGCTGCAATTTTTCGAACGATGTAGGCGCAATACTCCGGTAGAGTTAGCCTGGTTGCTGAATCCCTTTCCAAGCGGGCAGCAAGCTTGGCCTGGAGAGTAACACGAGTTTTTGCCGCCAATGTTGCCATGTGATTGCATACCTCTGCAGTCTCCCAGATGGTGGGAAAGTTCTTCTGCATGGCGATTTTTGCATCCGCTGCGCTGGCATGCGGCAGAACCACTGATGTCCAGTAGTGCTGCCACGCGCTCACGAAAGCATCATATGGGTTACAGTCTGGATCCTTTTTGCAGCGCTTTCCAGGCGCATTAGAGTCTGTAAACAAGCACTGGTATGGATCCAGTGGATTGCCCTGGTCATCCATCTCATCTAGTGCATTGTACGGCTTGAACAGCAACAACTTAACGAGACAGTTTTTGTGAGGGTCTATGTCTGGCGATGGCACAGAAATGCCAAAAATCTCTGGCACACGAGGAACTATGCTGACTCGCTGTATTTTGATTGCTTGCTTTGCTCTGTAATCTGAGCTGAACGGAATGTCAAGGTACATGTCGCGGTGAGGATCCTGGTCTGTTTTTTTGTTCGCAGTGTACACCCACATGTTGTAAACGTACGCGGGCAAAGGGGCGAGCAAATCAGACTGACAGCGATGCATGTAGTCCTCGTGATTGGAGGTAAACTGAACCGTCACGGAATTTGATGCGTCTAGCCCTTCGTGCTTCAAAGTGTGGGCTCTGCTGGCAAGGTGATCCATGCTGCCACGTTTTTTGGCATGCTGCAAAGCTGCGGCAAGAGATGTAAACCTACACCCCTGCTTGCTACAGCACTTCAAGACTCCGCAAGGAGAATGCCCTGGAGAACTTAAGTTGGTGTCTTTCAAGGCAAGTTTACCACAGGAAAACCAACCCAATTCGGGCACATTCCTGGGGTTGGGTGAAGATGGGGGTATAGGAACTTGTGTCAGAATCAAGCTTCTGGCATGGCACGACCTGGCATGGCATGTGGCCTGTCGCATTTGTGATGGGCAGCGGCAGAGGAGCCATGCTGCCAGAAGCATGCTCAAGCATTTGTTGCTGATTCTGCGGTTGGCCGAACTGCATTCTTTACCTTAGCATAGTTTGCCTTGGACAACAAACACATACAGTTGGGTTGAAGGCCCTTTTTGTTGTACCATTTATAAACACCAACTTAAACACCAATTGGGTGAAGGTAGATTGTGCAATTCCTCCCTTTTGGTTCAGTCATGCCCTTTACCCACATCGGGACTGCCAGCTACCTTCAATTTGGGTTACCAGGTGCGGTGTTTTTTTTTGGGTTTGGCCAGTGCTTGCCACCAGCGCTTGCTGGTTCCTGGCTTCTTAGCTGTTAACTGAAACAATTGTGCTTCGACTTTCTTGGAGGCAAACAAATCTGTTGAGCATTGGATTGCCGCTGGCTTCTCTTGACCCAATGTCTCTTTCTTTCTGAGCCGAAAAAAACGACAACATCGTGAGCAATATGCTCGCGCCAGCGTTGTGGCAAGACCGACGTGGCCACCACGAGCTCGTACGACCTGCCGCACCCTGCATAGCACAAGGTTCTCAAGCTCATTCGTAGTCGTGAGTCCCCCCCGTAAACTTCTCAAACACTGCTGTTTTTGGTCTCTTTGGAAGCAAACATTCCAAAAGCAATGGTTGTTGGGCTCTTTCTGGGCCGGATTTTCTCAAACGTGTCTGTTTTCAAGCTTTTTGAGGCCAAATCATCCGAAACGGCTGGTTTTTGAGCCAGTCTTCATCAGAGAGAGGTGGGGGGCTCGGTATTTGTTTTTCCAACCCCAACCAACCCCCCCTATAAGTTTCTCAAACGTGTCTGTTTTCAAGCTTTTTGAGGCCAAATCATCCGAAACGGCTGGTTATTGAGCCAGTCTTCATCAGAGAGGGGTGGGGGGCTCGGTATTTGTTTTTCCAACCCCAACCAACCCCCCCTATAAGTTTCAACCCCAACCCTAAACAGAGGCCAAAAGTTTCCAACCCTAAACAGGGATGCAGCCACCTACAATCCACAAAAGGCACAAGCAAGCCGAAGAATTCGATTGGGATCTCCGCCGTGATGTCCTTGATCCTGTGAACCACACTGTCAGTAAGTCCGACTCCGGCATGGAAAGGAGTCGAATCCGCTCTCTGAAGCTTCTCCTTCTGTCTGGTGCAACGCAGGGAAATTGAGGTCAAAGACCACAACGCCCACGTTGATCCCGCCCTTCTCATGGCGCTTTCCGGGTCCAGAAAGGAGTGCGCCCTCTGCAAGCTGCAGCTGTTGTCTCGCCGCCGATTGGGCAGTCTGAGGCTTCTCATTCCACCGAGCTCACGAATCCGCAAAAGGGGATGCCCTCTCTCTCACAAGGGGCACAGGGGTTGCCCTCTCTCACTCAAGTCCCCACATGACAAGCCCGGAACGCTGCAAATCTCTAGGGAACGTCCAACTGAAAGCCTCCCCAGCAAAATGCACGGACTCCCTCATTGCAATTCACACTGAGAAAGGAGCCCTTGCCTCTTGAAGCCAACACGTCATATCCAAATTCCAATGTTGGTGGGTTTCCTCAATCCCGGGTTCACACGCAGCACGAAGCCCTCCAAGTACAATGCATAAAAAGGGGTGGTCTTCCTTACCCCCTGCCAAAAGGGTACTGAGCCCAAAATATACATGAACACCACGGGGACCTCAGTTAGAATATTTAGAATATTTGTTTTTGGGCCGGGAAACCTTCATCAGGGGATACCCGTAAAGAACGTGTGCTAGCTATAGGGTGAGGGAGTTTACCCGCTGCAGCAGCTGCAAAAGGTGACCTCCCTAGGCAATATCTTCGAACGCGTCTCCTGGAAAAATGAGAGAAATATGTCCAGTGGTAGGTTCCCTGAAAAACCAACAGTTGGTTTATTAAAAAGACACACACAACACATTCCAGGTGTGAACTCCAGGTCCGTACATATATATATATATAAATGGGTTTGTTTATTTTTGGAGGGCACCAAAAAGGGGTGCTCTTCCTGTTCCCTTTACACCAACCCTCAAAAGAGTACCGGGCATCCTCTCTGGCGGGATACTGGGCGGGATCCACTGGCATCCTCTCTGGCGGGATACTGGGCGGGATCCACTGGCATCCTCTCTGGCGGGATACTGCTCTGGCGGGATCCACTGGCATCCTCTCTGGCGGGATACTGGGCGGGATCCACTGGCATCCTCTCTGGCGGGATACTGGGCGGGATCCACTGGCATCCTCTCTGGCGGGATACTGGGCGGGATCCACTGGCATCCTCTCTGGCGGGATACTGGGCGGGATCCACTGGCATCCTCTCTGGCGGGATACTGGGCGGGATCCACTGGCATCCTCTCTGGCGGGATACTGGGCGGGATCCACTGGCATCCTCTCTGGCGGGATACTGGGCGGGATCCACTGGCATCCTCTCTGGCGGGATACTGGGCGGGATCCACTGGCATCCTCTCTGGCGGGATCCTCTCTGGCACGAGGGTGTGGTGTAGCAGCATCGCAAGCGTGGATTCTACTTCAAATCTAACAACCCCTTCCTGTCGGGTGGGGAATGACACTGGACCTTTTTTCGGCGGGGTGGATGATGTGCTGAAAGGCCGAGTGCTTCTGACGCCTTTGGCATAGGCCTTCTGAGTTTGGTGCTCTTTACCCAGCCACTTCTGACCCCTTCATACAGCCAGCGGATTCGACAGGCTTTTGTTTAAGCCCTTTTTTGGGGAAGAGCGAAACTTCCTTCAACTCAACCAACATACCAGGTTCCGGTTCCGTTTTTCCCGGCTTCCGACTTTAGGGTGGGGGTCCTATAGAGGGAATTCCGTCACATTTGGGAAGCGCACTCCCCCCGCAAATGCGGCAGGCAAATCACTTCTGGGTTGACTGTACTTTGGTTGCAAGCTGTTTCCAGGTTCTTCGAATGCATGATGCTCGGAGCAGCTCGGCGGCAAAAGGACACGGTTCATTTTATATATTCCCTGCCAACCACGTACGCCGGTGTCACCCACAATACTTCGTCATTTGGCGGTTTTAAACATCATGTTTGGGCCAATCTCAATCAAGTTGCCTTTCAGACGGTGATGATTGTATGGGGTCATATCAATAAGGAACTCTTTGCAGGACGCCAGTCAAAGAGTCGGCATCACTCTGCTGGTGTCCCCAAGACCATAGGTTGATGTTGGGAGTCCGAAAGGCAGCCTGTTCATATGTAGACTGAACTTGTTTCCAGCCATAAGCCTATGTTGGCCCATCTTGGCCCATGTTGGCTGTTGGCACCTGACGCTTCATAAACCTCTCCATGTGAATTGAATTCAACCAACCTAACGCGACTTGAGACCACCAAAGCGCAAAAGGATCACCCTTTCTTGCTAGCAGAATTCCCGGGTAAGACGCGCCAACACTCGTGAGGGGCACATGGCTGCCAGGTAGGCCAGCTTTTGTGTGGACGCTTCTCCCAGCAACGGGCCAGGACGGGGGGGGATGCCGCATCCTCAATTGTTTGGCACCTTTCCAGGCCTAAACCTCTCCAAACCTTGGCATATTTGCAGGCTCAACCCCTAAACCAGTCTGTTTTGAACAGAATTTGGTTGCCAAAGTAGATCCAAATGAATCCTCTGTGACCGCCTTGTGGACACCGGGTCTCAGTCTACTCGGAGAAAACTTGAAGGCGGCCGGGGCCCCCGTGGAAGTTGTCGACAGTTGTCTTTGTGTCGAAGTCATGGGAGTGTTGAGTTGGCTTCAGAGGGCAGGGATGCCTTGAAGTCAAGCTGGGATGAGCCCATTCCCCTGCATTCGCTTGGAAAGATTCCCTCGGATGGGCTCCCTGTGTCGGGAAGCCTTCCAAGGGTCGAAATGGCACATTCCGGATCTTTGGCGTTCACAAACACTTTTGAGTATACTTCATACCCCGGAATTGTCAGAATGCTGCCCAAATTGGTTGGTTTCATGTTGATGCCCCAAACATCGCCATCCCAAAAAGTGTTTTCCCGTTCTCCATGTTTGCCTGCCCCGTGGGATCGGGTTTGCTTGAACTAGCAACAGTCATGGGAATGGCGTGCAAGTGCTGATACCTCTTTCTTCTTTTCTCCGCATCTCTGCTTCTGTGAGCAGCTCTTACCTGCAACCCGGGCGTAAGTGATTGCAAAGGCTAATGGAATATTGGCTACCTTAATTGATATGTGGGATCAACCAGCCACACGCTGCAACGTAGGCCGGCTTCCTATTCGCGAGCATTCACGAGCATTGCTCGCGCGCCAAGTCCCACAGGATTGGCGAGGAAGTGAAAGGTGCCGAGTTTGGAGGCGAGTTTCAAGCCAGAGGGTCCAAGTACCTCCTGACAATGGCTTTTGAGGGTAAAAAGGGCTCTAAGTTCCTCCCTGGAAGGTACTTGGACCCTCTGGGAAAGAGGAATCAAGAAAAGGACACCCCTCATGTTGGTTCTTTTCCTTCGCACGTCACGGGTGTCTCTGGCTCCAGCTTGTCCCAAAGGGACCTGCGAGACGCTTGCGAAAAGCAAGCGGGCGGGCGGCGGGCGCCATGCCGAACCTGTCGCCGGGGGAGAGGTTCCGTGGGCTTTTGTGCCAGCTGGCTGAGGCGGGGCCCCGGGGCTGAGTCGCGGGGAGTGTCTCTTTCAATCCGCCCGGCGGAGTCCGCCGGCGGAAGGGTTCCGATTCCTTTACACTCAACCAACCCAAAAAGGAGGCCGATGCTTTTTGGAAATCGACTGGGCGTCGGAGCCCTGGTAGGGAGGTGCTTTGCTGGATCCCAAGTCACATTTGGAGGGGTTCTCTCGGTTGCGGTTGGGGTAGGTGTCCATTGAATCCATCGTTTGAAGGTTTTTGGGAGGATGTCTCTTTAATGGAGGAGCAGGTGTGTGTTGGTGGGCGCGGATGGGGTCGAGGGCTGGACACGTTGGACCAACCCCCAAAAGGGTTAAGCTGCAGAAGGTGCTGTTCGATTCATTTTGACTTGGCTAGCGCTGCATGCCCGATGTTGTGCCAGTGGTGTATGCATGCAGCATCAGAACTCTGAAAGCTACACGTAGGGCAGAACCCGAGCTTATGGGTATGTTTCTAACAACTCACAAAATCAATGGACTGTTACATACTTGAATGCCACCGAGATCCGCTCAACTTGGAACCAGTAAATTGACATTCATAGCTTATGTATGCCCAAGACGTATAGCGTGAAGCAGAAAATCGAATGAATAGAAAGTGCTCCCGTGAACCCCAGTCAAGCTGGAAGCAAAGACTTGCTATGGGCCATTCAGTCAGTGGCTTGCCGCCCAGGAGTAAGGCGAGCTCCGGGCCCATGATGTGAATGATCGTGAATTGCCCATGGATCGAATAGACTAATCCCCGTACCTAGATTTAAAATAACTCCCCTTGCGCTGCAGCTCTAAATCAGCAAATAGGAGTGTTGCTTCCCTCTTGCACAGTTTGTTTTTCTTCGAAGTGGGGTGTTTATATTATATATAGGTATTGTTGTTTTTGTTTTTTTTTCAAGTGACAAGTGAAACCATTCGCAAGCAGATTTGGTTCCCAGTTCTGGGTCACTGTCAGTCCTCCACTTCCCGTCGGGTCACGCTTCTTCGTTAGGAGCACGAAGAGGAGCTCTCCCGGCTGCGTGCGGAGAATCAGCGCTTGGCGGAGGATGCGAGCGCCTGGATGTCTGTCGTTTTTTTGTTGCATTCCTAACACTCCGAGTCATTCCCGAAGGAAGGCAACCGTGAGTTTTTACGACGCCGTTTTGAGTCGCTGTTTTTTTTGTTCTGTTCTCCGGCTGGCAACCTATGTTCAGGTGGTTGTTTGAAAGGGGAACCAAAGACACCGTGTGTGCTTTCGGGTATTCAAGCTTACCAGGTTCTTGCCTCCAGGTGTTACGTGATGGTTTTCCCCGGCTGCGCACTATGATGGAAAAGGTGCTTTACCAGTTGCTTTTTGCAAGCTTGAACATTTCAGCTGGCAGATGTCTTCAGTTTGATAGCGGCCCCAAAGTTTAAAGCGGCGGGTCATTTGGGCAGAGCAGCTTTGGGCCATGGTCGGCTGAATAGGTCTTCGAGACACCTTGTTGCCGCCTCGTTTTGAAGTATAACCCGTCCTTCTGCAGGAGAACGCGCGGTTGACTGGCGCGCCCTTGCGCCAAACTGGCCAGGCGAGAGCCAGAACGTTTCGAGCCGTGGCAGGTCAAAGGGAGCCTTTTTCGCCTAGTGGCTTTCACCCTTCAAGTTGTTTTTTCTTTCTTCGGGTGCTCCACTCAAAATGCTGGGTTACCAAACGGCTTTGCCTTTTACCTGAAATAAAACAGGTGCCATTCGTGCCTGCAAAACGCGGTTGGGCCCAACCAGATTCGGAATATGTGAAGCCCTTTCGTGGCTTATCAACCTCGGGTGGGGGCACTTTGAGGTTCTAAGATGAGCCTCCGCCCCATTGTATTGAGGGTGAGCTCATTCCTCCTCCCCCCAGGCAATCGCCTTATATTTTGTAGCGGGTCCCTGCTTGGTCTTTTTACGCAAGGTCGGAGAATTGGAGGTCTTCACTTTGTGCATTACCACTGCCAAGGGGATCTTTTTAAAAGTGACAAAGCAGGCATGGGGACGGGACGTCTCTAAGCGGGTCTGAGGGAACTAAAAGTGCAACATCCTTTTGGTATTTGTCCAAGATCGGCTTTCCAGCTTGGCTCACAGGGCAGCATAGGGCAGCCATGAGGAAATCTAAAATCTTCAGGGTCACCCTATTCTCAGTTGCTCAGTGGCACCAATTATTTGTCCTTTTTTTCTGGGTGGCCCCACTAAAAATGTTCCAAGCCCCGAAAAGGGGTCCAATTATTTTTTTCCAGGGTCACTGAACAACTGAGTATTTTGTCATGCGCCCATTTGGCATCCATGGCTTCGCCAGGTAGAGCTGCCACGTGCTGAGCCGCCCAGAGTGAGAACTGCCGAGGAGGTGGAGGCGGTTTGGGTGGTTGCCATTGGTGACCTTTGTAGGTTAGGCTAGAAATGGATGGCACTGGTTTAGATGGATATTGTTCCATTTACCAGGGCCATCTACTTTACCAAAAGGATATCTATGGTTGTTGCCGTGGCGCCGTGCTCAATTCAGTCCCTACTCCTTATGCCAGCCGCGCGGTAGTGGCTTTCCTTGCTGTAGTGTCCCACTGCCGATTTTTTGTTGTTGTTCGGATGTGGCTGGATCAAGGCTGCCCCCCTTTTCATCAACCCCATTTCAACCTCTCCCTGTTGCTGCCACCAGGGGTACTTTGGTGCGTTCTCGGAGTCCTTGAATGTTGGCTTGGCGCCACAGCTTGTCCTAAAGCGCTGGCGGAAGCGGTGCGAGCGCCGGGCAGGGGGGGGGGGGGGTTTGGGGGTTTGGGGGGGTGTTGGGAGTCGGGTTTTCCTCCAGGTCAAAGTGGACCCCATCTCCAAGCCGGAGGAGCTGCTGCCTGGCAACTCGCAGGTGAAGCTCACCATCTTCGGAGCGGGTGGCTTCCCGCAGGCGATCCGCGCAGATCCGCGCGAACCGGGCCGCCCTTCAGCGGGGGTCACGGTCCAAAAAGTGCCCCTGGTTGGGTTGGTCCCTTAAAGAAAATGGGCAGGCCCTGTGTTCTACTTGCGGCGAAGCTTACAAAAAGCCAGACGCACATACGGCACTCTGCAGATTCGAACTGATTATGACAAACCGCTGCTTTGTCGAGGACCCTGGGATCCACAATTCGCGATCCAAGATTCGCAGACGGGCGCCAGTCTCCTTCCCTTGCCAGGAGGCGGGCGACTTCGCCAAGGTGCAGATCCGCTGCACCGTAGGCCCGGGTTCCTAGATGCTCACCGCGTCGAAGCGTGAAGCATGGCACTCCTGGAGCTTCAGCCATGCGACCACGCTTCCCTCAGGGTGAAGCTGGCTTTCTTAGGGATTCCTTATTTTCGGTGTGGGCATTGCCAGCGGTTTCCCACTTCAATTTGCGTTGGCGGCTTCTTGCAGTTGTATCAGGCACCCTTGTTGCCGCTGTGTGGAAACGATGCACAGCATGCGTGCGGACCAGGCTTCGGTGTTCAGTGAGCCCGTGAATGAGACCAGGTGTGCCAGATTGGCGCGCAGCCACACATTTCGGCGCAAGATGTTCCCAGATATCATCCATGCGCATGCCGTGCTATGCACTCCATGGTAGTTATTTGAATCTTTTGGAGTGCGGTTGCAGCATGCCAGCCCGACTTCCAAAAACTTGCAGAGCCATCAAAGAACAAGTTCCAACATTTCACTTCCCAGCCGTGGAGTTGTTCATTTGTCCTTAGCTTTGGGCCGAGCTTGCAAAGCCGCTCGCACAGCCGTGTGCCTGAGGCTTGCAGGACAACAAGACGCAGTGGATGCCGCTGCAGGAGCTACTGGGGCGATTGCAATCGCAGGGCCCGGGATCAGGGTTAGAAAATCTTGCCATGAGCCTCTAGCCCGCATCTTTCTGCTTGCAGCCGTGGTCTTTGTGTGTGCGGGGTTGTGTCTTGTTTTGCTGTTGCTTCAGCCCGGATCCACTCATACGCAAGCCATACCATGTTTACTTGGCGCAAGCCTGATGCAAACATGTGAGCGCATAGAACAGAGCGCTGATGTGGTCATTGTGTACACACTCAGATTCATACACCAAACGCTGCCCTCTCTATTGGTTCCCATTTAATTTATAGCTGGACCATTCTGTATTAGAGTAGAGGCAGGGACCTAGTTCTTCAGCGCCCCATATTCCGACCTTCATTGCCATTTTAGCGACTCGCAGGAGTTTGTACCTGGTATGCAGTCCGTTCGATTGTGTCCATCAGGCGTTTGCGCGGTTTGTGGTAAATACAAACACAAACACAACAGCAAGTACAAGGACAAACACGCTCACACAAACACACAACACAAAGCACAAACACAAACACAATCACACACCTAAACAAAATCAAAGACAAACGCAAACACAAACGCAAAGACAAACACAGACCCGCACGCACCTGCACCTGCACCACCAGCACCACCAGCACCCACACCCACACCCACCCACACACACACACACTTACCCAACAATTATCCGGGGGCTTGCGGTAGAGCACGCCCATTGCGCAGGGGGCTGCGGTTGGGCCGAACATGGTCCCCGATGCGCAGACCTGGGAGGCTCACGACAAGCAACGGTTTTCGCTAGTTTCGGCAAACATAATCCTGTGACTTCCCTTCTTATGCTGAAGCCCCCATGTGTTAAGGCCACTGCAAGCTCGTTTCCAGAGGTAAAGCTTCAGCTGGGGTATCCGGGGGGTTATCCTCCCAGGAAGTTTCCTTGTTTGCATGGATGGGAGGGTGCCTGTTCTTTGTTGCATTTTGCTTGGATGCTAGGACTTTATCTTTTTCCCAACCAATTGGTTTTTTTTCGTATTAAACCACTGAAAGTGCAGGGGAGCAGAAAGCAACCGAGTGTTGACACTCCCGAAAAAAAATGGTTGCCAGGCTGCGCTGCAGTCCCCAGAGATCATGAGATTCCAGACGGACAAAGGCAACCTCTTGGAGGACATCACAGTGGAGCTGTGGGCTCCAGACAGACAGGCCGCTTCCTGGAGCTCCGGTTGGAAGGATTGCTTGGATTGGTGGCTGTCGTTGGTTGCTTCCTTGCCTGGCTGGCGGGTTAGCTTGTGGGTGGGTGGGTGGGTGGGCGGGCGGGCGGGCATGCCTCCCCCTTTCTGAATCCAGAAGCACGAGAGAATGCACAAACCGGGCACGGACTTAAGTGCCTGTGTTTGAAAACTGCAAGTGAAGAGAACGGAGGATGAAGCCTGAACAGTTTGGTAGGGATAGGAGCCGTCTTTTGACGGGAGCCCTTGCTCTCCAAACACGTGGAACATGATTGCACATAGTGAATGAGCGAGCGTACTACGCATCATTTTGATGGTTACCCTCCCACCAGCTAACATGGAAGTGCCAAAAGGCCCTGCAGAAAGACGACTTTACTCTTGGCAAGGGGCCTTTTTGCACAAACCCATGTTAGTTGGTGGCAGGGTATGTTCCGCACATGCCAGGGTTTTGCCCCCAACAGGTCCACGAAACCTCTCTGACTCCGATCCCACGAAGCCGCCAGGTGCCACTGGCCACTGCCACTGTGGCGCCGGGCATGCGCCGCCAGAAGGCGAGGAGGACAACTGGGTACATGCTCTGTTCTTCCCCAGAAACTGCTCCCCCTTTTCTTTTTTGGCTTTTTGGCGGCCCCTTTGTGTTCCACTAACCAGGCAAAAAAAGATATACATTTTTGCTGGGGTCCTAGTTCCCTAGTGTTGTTCGAGGTCACCTCCTTGGTCTCCCTTGAAGTCAAGAACAGCTAGGTCCCCCAGCTAGGTGCCCTTTTACCGTTTGTTTTTTGGTTGGGAGGGTTCCCCTAAAATAGACAAAACCGGAAAAGAAAAAAAAACATGGGTACCCTTATTCTAACCTCTCAAATCTGGCGGACCTAGACGGCCTCCTTTGGATTGATTTTTTCGGTGTCACCGGAAAATCCTTAACCAACTCCTTCTGCCTCAGCGGCTTCAGTGGCAAAATCCTCCCGGATCAACGTGGGTGCCATGGTGGCGACCCTGGCAGGTCCTCTTCGACTTCGGGGGCTTTTTGGATGCCGAGGTCACGGTGGACGGAAACCATGCCATGGGCCACGCCGCGTCTGAGGCAAGACTGGCGGTCCAATTTTTGGAGTTGGGACCCGTTTTGGGCTGCTTGTTTTCTAGGAAATAAATGTGTTTTCCACTAAACCCCGAAAAAGTTAAACTTTTTGCAGGGGGTCAACAGCAACCCAGTTTTTAGGGAAACCAACAGGAAAGCCACCTTTGTGGGGGTCCCCTAAGAGCAGACACACCCACTTCTTTGACGTTGTCCAGTGGCAAGCTTTCGAGATGCTTCATTCTAATCACGGCGCGCGGGATATGTTTGTCTTGTAGATTGCCGGGAGACCAAGAAGAAGCAAACATGCTGACACAGCCAGACGCACGGCATCTCAAGGGGGTTCTATATTATTTACGTTTTTTCTCCCGCTGGATTGGGATTATTTTTCCAGTCCCCCGGGCAAGCGAGTAAGCAAGCAAGCAAGCGAGTAAGCAAGCAAGCAAGCAAGCAAGCAAGCAAGCAAGCAAGCAAGCAAGCAAGCAAGCAAGCAAGCAAGCAAGCAAGCAAGCAAGCAAGCAAGCAAGCACAAGAGAGCCAGCAAGCAAGCAATGAAGCACCCTGAACTCCCCCGGTATACTTTAAATACAAAATCACCTACCCTATCAGACACTAAACGCACCCTAAACCTACCCTTAACCTACCCGTAACCTACCCCTAACCACCCTAAACGTACTAAACGTGCCTTTAACTCTATAAACGCACAACCAAAAAACCCGATCCGAAACCTCACTAAACCCGCCTATATCATCAACTCAACCAACCCAACCAACCCAAACTCCATCTAAACCCACCCTAGACCAATCCTAAACCGACCCACCTAAAGCAACCACAAACACACCCTAGACCAGCCTTAAGCCCAACTCTAAACACACTACACCCACCCCGAACCTAACTTAAACCAACCCTGAACGGACCCCGAACCCACCCTAAAACCAACCCCCCAACACACCGCGAACCTGAACCCACCCCAACAACCAGGACCAAAACCTGCCCCTACACCAACCCTGAACACCCTAAACCACCCTTAGCCAAGAGCCTAGATGCCTGTCACTCAGCTTGCTTTCATTCTCCTGTCCTGTTTCAACTAAACCCAACCTAAACCTAGCCGAAGCCTACCCTAAGCGTAGGACCTTGAACCAACCTTGAACCCTCAACTAAACCAACCTTGCGCCAACCCAAGCTCCATCTAACCCTCTACCTAAGGCCCCAAACCACCCCAACCAAACCGCGCCAAACCCACCCTAAACCAGGCCCTCCAACCACCCTAAATCCTAAGCGCGCCCTAGACTCAGCTGAACGCCTCCAAAGGTGACCGGAAATGGAACGGATAAAAAATCCAAAAAGCGCTGGAAAAAAAAATCCAGGAACAAATCCTGGCCATTTCAAGGCTGTGTACAAGAAAGAAACAACATAAGTGCTTTGCAATGCCAACTGGCATGTGTCAATATTTTAGCGTGCAACAGGCTGAACAGCCGCAACTTGGCTGTTGAACCCACAAAATACAGGCTTCAAGTTCGAACTGAAGAATGGGACGAGCGAAAGCATGGCTAAGGCACACTTTTGCTGCCTTTCAAAAACGGGAGTGTTGAACCTGACGGCAGGCAAGCCCTCCACTCTAACACACATTGGCTTTGGAGCTCCAACGGCCGTTTGAACATTGGGGTGACCAAAGTGAAACATGATGGGTCAACGGGGGTTAGCGTGCAACTCAGCAGGGGGGCAGTCGCAAAACAACAGGACAAGACTTGTTGTTGCGATACGAAGAAGCAAATTTGGCCCGCTGTTGATGTGACCGTCACGAACCATCCTTTCCCCCCCCCGTCCCCGGGCGCAATTGAGGACCAGGTTTGATGCAAAAACAATGGAAACAACACATGTTTTTGCGATACTAGGTCCCCCAGTAGTGCACTTTCACCCTTTTTTGGGGGAGGGTTGGGTTCCCCTACTAAAATAGACTACAGAAAAAAAAGGGTACCCTCATTGTAACCTCTCTAGTGGAGGACCTAGGATAGGAAGAAGTAAAGGTCTTCATAGCGCGGCAAACCGGCCCAACATTGTTAAGCCACAATCCCATGGGGTCTGAACAACCCACACCGCAGCATGCTTGTCTTTTGCGTTCGGGCGCGCTTGACAGAGTTTCAATGTGGTTTGGAGTACGGCCCTGTTTCACTGCTGCTTGGCCCAATGCTCGGATCTGAGGTTGACATCACCCAAGTTCTCCGTCCAGGGTGGTCTTTTTCGGACCTGGTTGTTGAAAAAGGTGATTTACGCTAGGTCTCCCAGTAGTGCCCTATTACCTACTAAAATAGACTACAGACAAAAGGGTACCCTTATTCTAACCTCTCCACTGGAGGACCCAGTACTTGGCCCCCAAATCGCTCCATTTCCCTCTTTTGTGCTTCACAAACCAGCTGGGCGCCACCTTTTGGACGCCTGACATCAGGATGGCTCCAAGGAGGCACCGGTGAACAAGGCCCAGAAGGTGAACTTGAAGCCCAACACCACCGCACGCCTCCTCAAGATCTTCAAGGCCCTGTCGGGGGGGAGGGGGTGGGGCGATGGTTCGGGTGGGCCAAACGAGAAATCAAATCCCAGGCAGTTTTGAGCACACTTCAAGAATGAGTTCCGCAGAGGAAACGGTGTTGCAGGTGAAGGCAGCTTGAATGGAATCGCTCTCATCCACCTGTCAGCTACTTTGGTTTGTCAATTTCTTCATTGGCTCCCACATGCTGGCTATATATATATATATATTAATATATATATATATATACACATATGTAGATATATATATCTATACGTACATATATGTAGATCGGTGAACGGAGAGCTGGGGAGGAGCGGAGAGCTGGGGAGGAGCGAGAGAAGAAGATGCATAGCCAAGGCACACATGTGTGGCAAAGTGGTGCACGCAACATTTGTGATGGGCATCCCACTTTGGATTCGCAGAAAGGGGTAAACCTGCTTGACCCATTCGCCACACCTTCCAGACCATGACCATGATGTTGTCGTTTCACGCTGTTCCCAATTTGGGCAACTTAGGCCTTTAAGTATTGCATCGAGAGGAAGGTTATTTGTGGGAACAGCTCAGCGCGTTGGGCGCTGGGTGTGTGGCCTACCGACCTGTTTTTTCTTCAGAATTTTCCTTTCCTCTTCTTGTATCTTCGCTATGGTTGCGGATTACGATTTTTACAGGCGGTCAAGGACCACGGTCGAGTGGGGCTTCCTGAGCGCGGGAGGTTGATTTCTGGCACAGGACTTGTTCCAATTGCACTCGTGGTCTAAGCTCCTCCCCTGAGAGGTGCGCAACTTGCATCTTTTGGCGAGGGTGTGTAGTGTAGAGGATGAACCATCATGTCTCCAAGCTTACTGCAGCACGTCGCCTGAGGGACGTGGCCAAACCCCTGCACTTTCATTGGCGAAAAAGCAAAACAAGGACGTGCCCAAAAGGTCAGATTGCCACCAAGAGAACCAGCAAGGTCAAAATGAGCAACATGGGAGTTATCCAGACGTCCTGGGGTAGACACTGCTTTTGGCAAGGATAGTGCACCTGTTCCCGGTAAGCCGTGTAGTTCGTTCTGCGTCAACCTTCTGAGAACGGGAGCAGTCACGCGGATCGATGCAGGCTGTTTTCCCAGGAGATTTGATACTTGACATGGAGCATGGCCGTGCAAACCAGATTGAAGCAACAGGACCCATTCAGAGGATGGTCATATATGGCCATAGGTCAAAAGCCCCTACCCCCAACGAACATCGCCAATCCTCACTAAAATAGACTAAAATGGGTGGTGCACCTACCCCAAAATGGTGCCATTGGTTTTTACCCACAGCCAATATCAAGGCGAGTGTGTACACGAGCAGTTTCAACATTGGCAGCCAAGTCATGGAAGTGCAGTTGTGGGAGACTGGACAAGGCCTGATCACTTTCTAGGTGCCGCAGCTAGGTGCCAACTTTTGCCGTTTCTTTTTTGGTTGGGAGGGTTCCTCTACACTGGAACAAAATCTGCTGAACAAGTTGGTACCCTTGTTCGAACCTCTCTACTGGAAGACCTAGCTTTCAATGGAAAGAGGGCAGTTGCAAAGCTCGGTCGTTTTCCCCTGAGGTGGAGGACCCCGCGGCCAAAGTGGTTCTGCCCAGGGACGTCTACAAGGCGCTGAAGCTGTGCAGGCGCGAGGGTTTGCAACCGCGTGCGGTATCCGGCTACTCGCAGGTGCCCTCCCGGAGCCCAGTGGGTTGCTTACTTTGAGCTTTGTTTGGGAAGGGTTCCGGTTCCTTTCAAGGTCAAGCAACCAAAAAGGAGCCCGAGTCTGCTTTTTTTGTCATGAGACTCCGCTGGGCATCTGAGAAGGTGCGGAAATATCCGCCTTAGACTCGCTGCCGGACAGTGTGAGGACAAAGAGAAACCGTTGGTTCCCAAATTTGCTTTGGGTCCTAAGTAACCTGTAATGGTTGACTTCTCCTCAACGGAGTGTGTATGGCGCATGGGATGGATGTGTTGTTTCCTCACAGTTTGGCACCCAGAAAAGCTTGGTGGGGGGTGAATTTAGCGGGGTTGTTCAACATATTCCCTAATGAGACCCGGCAATAGTTTGACCCAGCTAATGAGCAGGAACCAACATGTGTGTTGTTGATGGGGGACCCTTTTTGTTGCTAGGTTGTTTGAAAGAGGGAGACTACAGTTTTGTCGGGCGTGTTTCGGGGTTCACCCACGAAACTGGTTCATCCCCAACCCAATCAAACGATTCCTCACCGGTTCGAAACTCCAGTGGCCCACACACGGAGATTGTACAGAGTTACAACCTGGGCGTCCTGCTTCTCGCAAGGCTCCCCTTTGGCCTGTGGATCCCAACCGCAGGAAGAAGACCACCTCCTTCAACGTCAGCTTGGAGGTCCCAGAGTTGGAGGAGGTGCTCTCCGAGATCAAACGGATCCACGAGACCCATGGCCAGGTTTCGGTCGAACGGGGGGAACGAACCAGTTTGGGTCTGAACAACCCTATGCTTCCTCGACTATTTTTTAAATAGGGGTTGTTCAACCCCTATTTTTTGCATTGACAACCCCTATTTTTTGACATTGGCCTTTGGGGTCCATTTTGGGTTGTTACTTTGTTTTTATTGAAATTACGCCTGCTATTGCAACCTCTTAAGAAGCCTTGGGAGCCAGTAGATTGCTGCTATTTATTGATAGGGTCCTCGGCGCCCTTTCGTGTTTGCACAATGCACCTGCTGAAAGTCTTGCGTAGACGGGGCCTTCATTCTAGCAAATTCTAGAATTTTCCTCTGCAATTTGCGCAGGTGGAACGAACAACAAGCAATTTTGTGCTTGTTTTTTCCGCTCCAATCTTCACACAGCTCCAAAAACGATGTGAGCGTAGACAAACCGTAGACAAAGCGTAGAAAAACCGTAGAAACACAATTTTTTGGCGTAGAACCACTATTTTTTGGCGTAGAACGGGCAAAGTTTGCAGGGGACCCAGAAGATCAACATTCTCACCCTGGAATGGTTGCTGTAAAGGGTAAATATTTTTGCTGTCCCGTTTTGTTTGGTTTGGCTAAGAAGGTGGGGCAAAAGAAGGACAGAAACGGTTAGAAGAGGATTCACCCTCACGCGCTACATGGCCATGTTAAGAAACCAAGCAACAGAGAAGCCAACATTAGCCTTGAAGATTGTAACACATATTGCTGCATATGAAAATACCTGTTCGGCTTTGGGATCCTATGAGGCGGCCTTGGCGTCAAGTCTTTCCTAGTCCCGTTCCAGTCCTAAACGGAGGCTGCCGCTCGTCATCAAAAAATAGTCTTTATCAAAAAATCGGGGTTGTCACAACGACTATTTTTTAATAGGCTTTGGAAGCATAGGGACAAGAGAGGGGTCGCCATAGTCGCCTCAAAAACAAGCAGAACTCCCCGCCCCTCCCAAACAAGCAATACACAACACGAAGCAAAGCAGAACAATACAAGTTTAAATGAAACAGGTAAGCTTGTAAACAAGCAACGTCGGTTAGACATGCATAAACAGGTGGCTGGCCCCAGGGCCGCCTCGGAATCTGCCGTCGCTCCGCTGGATGCGCGGAGTCTTGCAACGTCGGGCGATTCCTACGTAGAGGGTTTTTTGCTTGCAAGCAAAGGCCGCGGAGTTGCAGACAGGCCGCCTCACACGCGAACTACGCTTGGAGTTTGCTAGGGGTTGACAAGCATTTTTTGCACGCGCACACACACACACACACTGTGTTACACACGTCGGTCCTGACGGCACACCAGTGCGTGAAGTGATGATTGAAGGTACTAGAGCGGGGATTGTGATTGATATCCATTCCGGGTTGTATCAAGGGCGCAGTGTGTTGCAGACAAACCTGGTTAATGCTTGGGGTGGTCCAGCAGTGCACTAATCGAATTTGTTGAAGGCAATCCTCATCCTCGACTCGGTGGCAAAAGGCGTCCCCAAAGGTATACCCAAAGTGGCCAAATTTGCATGCCTGACTAGGTTTGAAGTTTTTTTTCCAGCGGGCAAAGTGCCCTGCGCTTCTGCAGACAAGACTTTCGACGGCACGAGACAGAGAGAGAGAGAGAGAGAGAGAGAGAGAGAGAGAGAGAGAGGGAGAGGACAACAAGCGAAGGGTTCCCAAGCGGGATATGAATCAGCTGGATTCGTGGCTTTGATTGTTTTTACATGAAAAGCCTCACCTGACCTCCCTTCTGTAGTGCTTTTGCCCACCAACCGGTCGGATCTTGTTTCTCGGTCTGCTTTCCCCGTCACAAAGACACCCACCAGAAGGTCCCTTTCAGAGGAACATTGTTCAAAGCCTCCCGTCACTGAGAGTGGAAGGGTGACCAGGGTAGAAGGTTTTTCAATTTGTGCATCAGCCGCGCATGGAGCGCTGAGGATTGTCCACAAGAAAGAGGAGGAATCGTCCAAGGTGGCGCGCCCATCTGCCGCGCGGCAATCCTCGAACATGGATATTTTGCTTCGCCGTTTTTTTTGTTGTTTTTTTGTTTTCCCCTTTTTTCCGGAAATTGCGGGGAGACCGCCCACAAAGCGGGCTTCTACTTCAGGACTGTGTTTACCGGGGCCCCTTTGTTGTTTAAAGAGTCCAGCAGGCAATCCCTCTAGAATGACGCAGGTGCCACTTGCTGTAACCTTGCCCTGAGCCAAACACGGAACCCTGCACATGAGTAGCAGGCATCGCCAACCATAATAGAGGTGTTCAAATTATGTTGATCCCAGATTTGGCATTCACGACCACGCGGACCCCGCTTTCCTTCTGCAAGCACCATGATTGATTTGGGCGTTTCCTAGGCAACCGGGGCCCAACAAACAGAACTGCTTGGTTTTCGTGTGGCTCCTTGCGTTTTTGACATAGAACGGGGGACACATACTCAATTTGACCCCCGACATATCCGAGGCGGTGATCTCCTGGAGTGCCTTTCTGGACACTCTGACGCTGGTGCACTTGTCAGAATTTTCCACAGGCCAGGTTTCGCTGCGGCTCTTCATCGTGCAGAAGGCTGGGTTTTGCCGCATCAAAGACAATATGCTCGCGCAGACAAACAACCGGAAGCTCCCTCAACGGGCCTTTGTAAATGGAAACAAGTCTTCCAAAGGGGTCCTGAGAGCTTCCATGTTAGTCTGAAGAGGGTACACTTTGTTTGAGCTCAATCATGTTGCAGAACAATACCAGCCACCCACCATGCACGGACGGACGAGCACAGCTTTGCAAGGCTTGGTCAACCCACGCTCCTTTCAACGCTTTCGGGATGTATGACCTGTCAGCTATCAATGCGTGGCTCATTTGAGAAGAGACATGGCATCATCATGTTATAAGATATGTGTATTTGTGCAGCTGCTAGATGCTTCTACTGTTGCTGCTGGTGGTTGCCCTTCAAGTGCGTTGGGGGCTGGCTGAGGCATGGCTTTGCTGTGGTGCTGGGCTTGGGCCGAGTGCACCACTACTGACAGGGGTTGTGTGGACCGCCCCCTTTCCCAAGTAGCCTTCTGTCAACTTCCACGTGGACGTCCAATCAACACG